GTTTAGACACAAGTTGCACCAAATCAGAAGTGTGGGTTCCCACAGCATGTACACCTCGGCTTGGTGCTCTCCTCGACCTCCTAGCAGTGCCCCAACCATACTCTTTCTCTGCCATCTCCTCAAAGAGTTGATTCAGCTGTGGCGGTGTTTTGGTCAGCATGTTCCCGCCACAAACCGAGTCAATCAGCTGCTTGTCTTCTGGGAAGAGGGCGTGGTAGAAGGTGCCCACCTTGAAGACATCATTGAAACCATGATTGGGACACCTCAGGAAGAGACTGGTGTATCTCTCCCATGCATTCCGGATGGTCTCATCTTCATCCTGGGCAAAGTGGGTGATCTGCTTCTGCAAGTCCGCCGTTTTCGACGGAGGATAATAGCAGGTGAGGAACTTGTCCGCCAGGTTGGCGAACGTGGTGATCGATCCGGGAGGCCTAGTGTCCAGCCACTCCTTGGCCTGCCCCTCCAAAGTGAATGGGAAGTACCTCATTTGGATGGCATCGGCTGGGACCCCATTTATCTTGATTCCATCGATGAGCTTATGGAATCGCCTCAGATGTGATCGGGGGAACTCCCCCTCTTTTCCACGGAATACTACTGAGTCGCGCAACATAGTGATGACCGAGGTGCTCACCTCAAAGTTGTTGGCTGGGACTTGAGGGTGCTGAATGGGCGACCTCATGTCCGCGGCTCTAGCGGTCCAGTAGTAACCCATGGTTTGCTCCTCGGGGAGGACCACATCATGGTCCTGTGGGTCTCCCATCTCTTCCTCCTCGGTGATTTGTAGCTATGCTTAGGCCTCCTCCGCAGCTAGTCGCGCCTTTAGAGCCCGCTTGAAGTTCCTACAGGTTCGTTAAACCTCTTGGTCTAATGGTAGTAAATCTCCCGACTGGCTACGGGTCATGCACTACCTGCACACAATCATCAAAAGCAACCCGTGAAGGCACACAGGTGGAAGAGAGAAAATGCAGTAGATAAAAATCTAGAGTAACAAACTTCCACGTTTCTCCAATAACCTAGAGGTTCCCCGGCAACGCCGCCAAAAACTTGACACGCTAAAACACAACACCAAACTGCGACCAAGTGTAATCGCAGTCCGGAAATGCAGTAACAGGCAAGCTCTAACTGTCAACCCGGGGTCAAGATCTACTGCCTACTCCGTGAATATCTATTACCTAGCAAACTAAGTCGAGTGATTTTGGTTTTAACTAAAAGCAATAAGAAAGGAGGAAATGGTTCGGTTTTCTAAAGCAAAGGGAGAGTCACTCGGGAATGAGTCCCCCTAGCTCCTTAGTTAGGTCACAGTTGTAATTACCCTGCGTTGATTAACTATTGATTAAACTGCGGAAGATCCGATAGTAGCTTGGAATCTCTTAAGCTGACCAAGCCCTCTTAGGCAGGCTAACCGACAGGCGACTAACCTTCACCGGGATAGACTGCTGAGGCAATAAGCACAGAACTCCACTACTGGAATTGGGTTCCAGTACAAAGCAGTAAATTGATTAACTCTCGTATAACCAATCTACCACTACGATTGATGAAGTTCTAACAACCTAATCAGATTCTATCTATCTCAGGTTGCAGCAGAAATCAAGAAAAGATGATCAGACTTCCATTGACTCAATGAATCATGCATCAATCGATTAAAATCAAACAGTATAACAATCTCAAGTCATTACAATCAAGATTCCTAACACATGGAACTAGGGTTCTTCATACCCAAGTGAGAGAAAGTTCTACTCCATAGAGAGAGAGAGAGGAAAACAGTAATCAGAGTAGTCATACTCATAAAGATGAGGATAATCTGCTCCAGGATGATGATCTTCACTCCTGGGGATGCAATTTGGGCTTCAATGGTGAGAAATCAACTCCAAATAGCTCCTAGGGTTTGTTCTTTGCACTTTCTCTCTCTAAAACTCTGTTTTTGCTCCAAAAAGTCGATTCCCCTTAAAAAGACTCGAAATTGGGTTAAAACCCAGTTATGCCCGATCACACGGCCAGGCCACACGGCCGTGTGAAATCCCCAGCTGCCCGTGTGAGTGTGCAAAACGCCGCGTTTCACTTAAGTGTCTTCGGGTACGCTACACGGCCAAAACCACACGGCCGTGTGGATTCCCAGGCTGCCTGTGTGAGCTCCCTGGACTTTCCACATGGCCACAAGGGGTCCCTTACACGGCCAGTGTGGCTTGCCTGTGTAATTTGGTGCCACACGGCCAGGTCACACGACCGTGTGGAATTTTAGGCGTGCCCGTGTGGAATTTCCAGCTTTTCGTCAAACGTCCCAACTTCGTCCAATCGACCCCGAACTCGTTCCCAAACCTTCATTCATGTACTAGGACCTGAAATATCACAAACAAGAACAACCTAGCGTGAAATCGGCCTAAAACACGAGAGATGAGACTCAAAACGGTACCGAAATGGTGGACAAAAACATGTGTAAATATCGAGTCATCAACGTTCGAACTTTTAATCCGTCAGTGACTCAACGTTCGATGCTGAGGTGGCAGTGACATGGCTTCCACACAATTTATTTATGCTAAAAATTATAATAAAAATAAGAATAAAAAAAAACTTAAGAAACATAAAGGCAATTTTGCTCAATAACCCTAGCCGCCTCTTCTTAATCAATCTCCTCCATGACTTCTTCCTCCCCGCTGACTACCTCGTTGCTGCTCCTGGCGACACCGCCTTCAGCAACCCACCCGTCTTCCCTTACCACATTGTCCCTCGGCGACTCGCCTTCGGCGATCTCCGTCAATTCAACCCTCTCTCCCGGCGAGAAAAACATCCCAATCTCCCTGCTCTTGCTGGTACACGAGATACTTTCTATTTCATCAGAACAGCAGAGGCGGGCTCTGCCTTTCCCGACCCGGCAGGTTATTCCACCACTTCAAACCCTTTCAGAAACCCAGAAAACCCCAACCGCCATGGTCTCAAGCCCTTTCAGAAACCAAAAAAACCCTAACCGCCATGGCCTCTAGCCCCTTCAGAAACCCAGAAAAACCCAACTCTCTCTCCGACGAACATTTCTCATTTACCAATTTTTTCTTCCTTTGCACCAGATCTGATTTGAAATCGGGCGGTAGCTCTTTCTGGGTTCGTTGACTCAAAGATTGGATCTCCTGATCATGATGGCTTGGCGGCGATGTCGAGCTTTTTGTGGGTTCGATTATCAATTAGAGAGAGGGATGAAGTGGGTGGCGCCGGCGATTATTGGGGAGAGTTTGAGTTGGCAGGATTGGTGCTCGAGGGATGAGGAGAAGTAGTCGGAGTCTCAAAACTGAAGCGGTGTTGACAAGGAGGTAGAAGAGGATTGAAGCCAGAGGAGGAGAAGGGTAATTCGCCGAAGTTGCAGTAGAATATGTGTATTAGGAGCCTAAGGGCTAAGAGGAGAGTGGAAGAAAGTCTCTCGGAAAAAATTCATATATTTAATTTGTTTTAATTTATTTATTTAATAAATGATGATGTGTATAATCCTAGTCAGCACCGTATGCTGAATCAATGACGGAAAAATCGTTAACCGTCAATTTAGACGGTCAATTCAAAACTCGGGCCAAATTTGTCTAATAATTTGAAAAGTTGGCCACAACTGTCTTATTTGAAAATCGGGCCAAAACTGTCATTTACTCTACACTTCGGGCCAAATTAGTGTATTAACCCAATCAAAACCATCAAAATTTTCCAACCTTTTCTCTTCCTATAAACAAGGTTCAATAAGGCGCTAAGCGTAAGGCGAGCGTTGGGGTTCTGCCTAGCGCCTAGGCGCGCTTAGGCGTTGTCTTGGCGCGATTAAGCATTGGAAACATCAAAATTTCCACTTCTTTCTCTTCCTATAAACCAAAGCACCCAAATTTCCCCCTTTTTTCTTTTCCCAAAACTTGAAGTACCAAATTTTCCTCTTCTTTTTTCTTCAAAAAGTTGAAAACACCAATATTTCTCACTTCTCTCTCTTCCTATAAACCAAAACACCAAAACTCCCCCTTTTTTTTTTCTAAAAAATTTAAGCACCAAATTTCCCTCTTCTTTTTTCCCAAAAATTTGAAAACACCAAAATTTCCCACTTCTTTCTCTTCCTATAAACCAAAGCATCAAAACTCGCCTTAATTTCTTTCTCTTCTTTCTTTTATTAAAAATACATAATTTCACCTCCATATCATTTTTTTAACTTTCCTTTATAAAATGAAAAAATAGTTTTACTTAGTATTACAACAAACAAACTTCATTTTTAATTTTTATATAATATAGTAATTATTCGGGTCAATCGGGCGGGTTACGAGTTAGTTGGGTTCTGGCCAATCGGATTCAGGTCAATCGAGTTACGGGTTTATTCGAGTTGCAGGTCAATCAGGTTCGGGTTAATCAGGTTGTGGGTTTTCTCGTTACGGGTTAATCGAGTCACGGGTCGGGCGGGTTGGGGGTCATTGACTTTTATTCAATTCGGGTTGCGGTCGGGTTGCGGGTCGGGATAGTTGGGCGGGTTAGTCGGATCGGGTTTTGTTTTGACTCCTATACATAGGACTATCAGTTTGGATTCAATTTTTATTATTTCAACTAAACGAACAGATAAGGTGCTCTCATCGTTTTTTTGTTTCGGTCCCAAACTCTTTGTGCTTATCATTTTTTGTTTGGTCAAAACTGAAAAACTGATAAAAATAAAAATAAAATGACAACCAATACACAAATACCCATTATTGAATTAAGCCTCAGAATTCATTTTCTTGAAATCAAATTGAACCGTTTAAACCTCTTACCATCTCATTTTTAAGAAAATTAAATTAAACTGCTTAAGCCTCGGGTTTATTTTTTTGAAATCAAATTGAACCGTTTTAGCCTCTTACCAGTTCAACTTTAAGAAAATTATTTCCGGCTCGATTCGGTTAAACAAAACAATCTCCCTCAAGTTATACATACAATATCTTTGACCAAATAATAAAAACTTTTCTTTTAATATATTTGAGTGTGTGAGAGATGAGGTAAGATGCAGGTTTTTTCATTCTCACTAATAAACAAAAATTAAAATAGTAACTTTGGTAAAAAGTAAAAAAGTGTACCTAGTTTATATATATAAAAAAGATAAGATAATAAGTACATCAATGATCAAACCCGTCCTAGTCCTCCTGTACATTTTCGACAGAACCCTCTTATGCTTTCACAAAAATAAATTAATACATAAATAACAACCTCTCTTCTGAATTTCCCACTTTCTCCAGCTTTTCACTGATCCATCCTCTAATTGCCATCGTTGGCACATTTTGTTGCTACTGCTGCTCTGATTGTTCAGTCTTCTGCTTTCATCATTCCCTCTACTCTCCCGTGCAAAATGTTGCTTCTTCTCATCTTCAATGGAAGAAGAACAGGAACCAGTGTTGTTACTTTCATCTTCTTTTCGACTCTCTTTAGGCTAGTTTCTTGAGGGATCTACCTTGCCATCCAAATCGCTCTCCTTTTTCTATACAAGATGACAAGGGTTCTGAGAAATTAGCATTTCACCATTCAGTCTCGGTTTTTTGTGTCCGGGGTCTGTTTCATCATCTTTCTTCACTTGCTCTCCATGGCTGCCACCTAGCTGTACTTTAGCTTTCCCAGCAGCTTCTGATCCGCAGGAGCTCATCTTGTTGCCGCGTCCAACAAGGTTGTGCTTTTGAGTCGGGACCTGGTTTGGTTCAACCAAACTTCTCCTCAAGCTGAGACGACGCACTGCAGTGGCACTACCAAAAGCTTGCCCAACACCTGTTTCAAGTTCCACATATAGTGTTCAATTCAACAGCTTACACTCATTAGGGTTTTGTCAGCCAACTCTTTGTGCAACGAAAATACGATGTACCTATGCTGTTATTCACAAATGTGTTCCTCGGAGAAGGATCTAGAGCCATGTTAATTGCATGAAGAGCTGCCCGCTGTACCTCGGATAGTAGGGAGCCATTGGCCTTGGTTACCAGTTTCAAGTTGGTGTTGCTCTTCTTACGAGTGATAATGCTCCATCTCTGCTTGGGATAAACTAGTTCAATCAGTAAATTAAAAATAAACAATGAATTATTTATTACAGCAAGATAGGTAACAACTAAAATCAAGCTATATATATATATCCATCTCCATAACGGTTAAAACAAACCTTTATAAGCCTGGTCAGAGATTAACACAAGAACAAAACACTATGCAACATCTATTGTTATGCCAAAGAAACCTAACTTCTGTACCAAACTGAAGTTGTCAGCAAGATTCAGGGATGAATTCATAATAGTCGATAGACTTCCCACAGCTTCACCTCCACAAACAAGCACTGAAAAGTATTTCAAGTTGGCTAGCTATAGCAAATCTCCTACTTAAGCTATTTCTCAAGTATCAATCATTGATAAACTTTTAATTTTTGCTTTCCTCACTATCTTACATCTTCAAGTTTGTCCATTTTTTTTATAGTTTCAACTATTCAAAGATCCCTGTGCCTCCTGAACCATACTAGGTATGAGATAATGTTAAGAAGTACCTGAGATAATTGTGCAGCAGTTCTATCCCCCATCATGGACTCGCCTTTTACTATATATCCCCAATTACCCTCACCAAATTTCTGAACAGCAGCCTTCAAATGCACATCATCCCCCTCAGACCTTGGTTTTCTTTTCCTTTTGGATTTATTTTTGCCAATTTTAGATCCTTGATTGTTGCCAATTTGAGATCCACTACCATCCATACCTTCCAAAACAGTCACTATAGGCATCGGTTGCTTCTGTACAGAAACAGGAGTGGTGATGTTCATCCTTAGCATTGCAGCAGGTAGTGAATCTTCTGATGTAGCATGAAATGAATGGCTATTTGGTATGTTAACAGTCAAGGGAACCTCAACAGGAGTTGTGATGTGCATCCTTCGCATTGCAGCAGGTAGTGAATCTTCTGATGTGGCACGAAATGAATGGCTATTTGGTATGTTAGTAGTCAAGGGAGCCTCAAAAGTTCCAGCATTTGTTTGATTAGCATCAGAACCAGAAGCCATGAAAACCTGCGTTGACAGATATCCACACGATAAAAAGGAACGACTTCACCTAGTTATGACATAAAACAAAGACATCATAGTGAAGAGAAAACCAGTCCCTAACTGAGTCCACAGAAACCATCACACAGCACATCATATAAAATATTTATTACTAACCTTCACATATGTTGCTGCCTCAGTTGAAGCCTCACTAGTAACTTCAGGGTATGCTTCCAATTGTTCATAACCCAAGTCACTATCATCATCCTGGAAAAGTATGGGCACAGGACAATGAAAATAAGCTAAAAATAGAGAGGGGATGGGTAGGCATGCACAAAAACTTAAATTTTTCCAGAAGCAAACAGATGATGAGAAGCATAACAGAAATACAATAATGTCAAGAAGTACTCAGATATTTTTGAAGCAGTTCTATCCCTGTTGAACTCGCCTTTTGCTATATTTCCCCATCCTGAACTAAACTGAGAACTCGCAACTGGTTCGTAGCCAAGACTAGGTAGCAACATGCTAAAAAAATCTAGAAAAGGGCTTATACCGATAACCAATTGAAAGCATTGCAATGTCCGGATGGCATCTACCAATGCCTTGTAGAAACCCAGCCAAACAATGACACTCAACCAGACTCATGACCGAGGACAGTACACATAATAATGAGGTAAAGAGTGCTAGAGGCAGACAATTAAGAGCAGGCATAAAAATCATACAAAAACCCCAGGGACTCAAAATCCAAAGGTATATTAACTTCTAATAGTGAAAAGCATACCGTGTGCAGGCGGTGAAAACAATTCGTTGACGTAACATCATTCAGGACAGCTGTTATTCAGTATCAGAAGTCACATAAGATACCACATCTTCAAATGCATATAATTATGCAGTAACTTTAAGAAGCCTACCAGAATCTCTTGCATTTGGAGGAGAGATTCTCAAAGGATTAATTTCAACAATGTTGTCATCAGCAACAGGTTCAATACTCTTAGCCTCGCTCCTTGAAGACAAGGTAACCATGCTCTCTAGCTGAACAAAAAGTTGAAATTTTCCACATGAATTAGTTGTCTAAAGAAATCATAAATTGGACAAAGAAGCTGCAAAAGAACCATTTGATAAGAATTCCACAGGTGAAGGTACCTCATGGCACAGAATTCTCTCCTGCTCAATAAAAGAACTTGCTGTTTGACACCAGTCAATCTTTGAATGGCAGTCATGACTAGTAATCAAGGGATTTCGACGAGAAGCAGCATTTGGACATGGCTTCCTTTCTTTGTCATCTAAATCCTTTTGAACCATCTCTGATGCAATTGCACTGTGTTTGTCAACCTGATGATCACATTCAGCAGTATCGACATCAAGAGAGGCCAAACTATAAACCCTTTTCGCTCAAAACATCGGATCCATGAGCAACTTTTTGGAAATAAAAATAAGAAAAGAGCACAAGTCATGATTGTACCACTACAACACTACCAACAGAGACATTAAGAAAGACCACAGAATCTGAAGGATATAAGTGGGGAACTTTTGCGCAAAGGACCACAAAGAAGTATGGTTAGCTTATCCACTAGCTGGAATATCATGATGTAAAGGTAAGCTATAGGCCCTTCACGAAAGTTGTACCATTTACTGATTAGGTCATAACCTCTTGTAACCCAGTGCAGAATAATTGAGTCGATGGCACCTGTGAGGCCATGGCTCGGAAGACTGGACGGATACTGTTGACAAGCTAACCCAAAAGTCCCTCAGCCCTGACTAAAATTGGAAGTAACCAAGAACGGAGGAAAGCAACTCTAGCAACTGGTTCAGAGAATTCTTTCTGCTAGCTAACTAGAAGTTACCCAAGAGACCCCCAGACAGAAGCATGGCAACTTCATATTAGTGAAAAAAGGAGGTTCCAGAGTAACGCAAAGCTCAAAGGTAGAAAGAAAGCCAGTATTAGAGGTTGCATTTAGGCAGGTTGAGTTGTTGCGTGGGTTAGGGTTTTTGAACCTGCACAGGAATTTGGCATCCGAGGGCTCCGTCAATTGGTCTTCCTTGCCAAAGTTCAAACCCCATCACCATAATTCGGAGGCAACCAAAGATCTGACCCTGTCTCCTGGGACGTGGAGCGGTTCGTACGAGACAGAAGGGAGAAGGCAGCCGTGAAATTAGCGGGAAAATCGGGAGGAAGGTTGACAGATGAATAACGTTTTCCTCAGTATTATTATTAATTATTTTATAGTAGGGTTATAGGTAAAAATATTCCTTTCTACTATGACGATTTATCAAACATGCTCTTCAACTTTTTTTTAGATCAAACATGCTTCTATACTTTGAAAAAATTATCAAACATGCCCTTCTGTTAAAATTTGCATCCAAAATTCGTTAACAAAGGCCGAACTTTGGTTTGGGTGACACAAATGTCTAAAATATTCCTAATAATTTCACTTAGAATTTTTTTTGATTCTTTTGTATAGCCAAATAATTTCACTTTGAAGAGACCCGGAGAAATATAACGGGAGACAAAACTGACATTTTCGATCCCATTTGCAGATGTCGGGTCGTCTAAATCACAGTTCTACCATGATTGACGATTTTTTCAATGGAATGTTTAACAGAAGGGCATGTTTGATAATTTTTTCAAAGTACAGGGGCATGTTTGATGTAAAAAATAGTAGAGGGGCATGTTTGATAAAACGTCATAATAGAGGGGCATATTATACCTATAACCCTTTATAGTAATTTATACTTCTACCACCTAACAAATCTATGCTTCTATTATATATTTTTGCACAAACTTACCCCTTTATCGAGTCTCGAACGAGTATTTCTCGAGTCGGATGTCGAGCCGTTCATGAGCGGATTGGTTCATTAACAACCCTGACAGTGAGCACTCGTCCGCCTCCGACCTAGTTAGCATGGGGAATCTCCGAATTGATTGGGTATGGGTAAAACTCACAAAAAGTTTGCTGGGTATGGTGCTAGTATGATTTTAGCCTCCCCACCTCATACACATACCCATAGTTGCCCGACCAAGAACATTTCTTCACATATACAAAAATATATAGATCAAATGTAATATATCAATGATAATGAAGGTAACTAAAGAAAATAAATAGTAGAAAGACAATTGAGTGGTCATCCAAATCAAAACCTAATTCTTTTCCATCAATTCTCCGTCCATTCTTTCACTTTTCACTCTTGTTAACCTGATAATTATGTTAGTTACTTGTAAGATAGTAGATGTACCGGAGTTATAGAATAATGATGGCAAAATACACTTGTATAACCATAACTTTCACGTTGTGACAAATATAGCCATAACTATCTGAAAACACAAAATAGCCTAAAAATTGAATGGTCATGTGACAAATCTAGTCATTTCCGTTAGAAACTTTAACGGCGTTAGAAACTCCGTCAGTTAGGTTAACGTTAGGCTGACTAGGATGCCAAATCATCGCACACATCAGCAACCAGTTAGCATATTGACTCGCACAAAACTACACCACGAATTAGTCCTGACTAGAGCCCAAGTTTTTAAACTCTAGCCGGGTGCAGTATAGAGCAAAACATGATGAAGAATTGCTCACTCTCGACCAGTGGGGTCAGGACCATTTGATGCAAAAGATGTGCATATTCACGCTCAATCCTAACGTCCCTTTACCATGACGGTAATCTCTCAATGTTAGGGTTCACAAGATGAGTGTCGTTGCTAGCTTGTCCGAAGGTCTTAGACACAGGTTCAAATGACTAGCTAGAGTCTAGGACATGAGGGAAAGGCTTTTTAGGTGGTGGCAAACAAAACATGAGGTTCCACATCTTCAACCTAAGACACAAGGTTCTATGGTTTCGACTAGAATCTTCCCTACAAACAACGACCACTAGCATCGCCAAAAACCGCACTTTCCACTATTCCAAACCACAACCAGTCACCAAACCATGTCACGCATACTTTCTTGCTACATTTGCTATTTAATTTTAAGCAAAAGAGTGTAGAGGTAAACAACATGTAAGTGTTTCTATAGCTTGCATGCCAAGAACCACTTCTAAGAGCATTTCCAGCATTTATTAAAGTTTTGGTGGCCACTTTCTTTTCTTCTTTGCCCTTTTATTGACTTTTTTTTCTTTCTCTTTTCTTTTCACTTTCCTTTGAGGGCTATAGAGAGCTAAAAACATGCCACATTTTTTTAACTTAAGGAACAATGCTCACTTTGAAAAACTACCTACACACTTGATAGACCGTTATTTACACATGTTTTTACCCCTGTTCTTACACCGTTTGATGTATTGATTCTCGTGTTTTAGGCCGATTTCACGCTAGGTTGTGCTTGGTTGTGATATTTCAGGTCCTAGGACGTGAATGAAGGCTTAGGAGCGAGTCTGGGGTCGGTTGGACGAAGATCGGACGAATGGCGAGGTTTCAAGGAAGCTGCACGGCCAGGCCAGGGAGTCGCACGGCCATGCAAGTGAGCAAGATGGCCGTGCGGGATTATGCGAGAGCACGCACGGGCAACCCATGAAAATCACACAGCCGTGCAACATACAATTGTGGCCGTGTGACTTTTGCCGAGGCCAAGCACGGGCAAACCATGAAATCCACACGGCCGTGCACCCTGGCCGTGTGAGGAGCCTAAGATCGAACTAAACCATACGCCGCGTTTTGAGCCGCACGGCCAAAGTGGTGATATGCACGGCCGTGCACCCTGGCCGTGCGAGTCGGGAAATCCTGGTTTTAAAGCCTATTCCGAGCCAAAAGTAGGGGATTCGAGTTTTGAATGATTGGTTTGATTGTATGAACCCAAGTACTGTTTCTATGAATTGATTATATTCGATTGAGGTTTGAATGATTGAATGGCATGAATCCTGATCAAATTCCTGTTGTTTCTGCTTTAACCTAGAATGATAATATCTGCCTAGGTTGATAGAGTATCCTTAATCGAAGGTAGTGAATTGGTGACTTTAGTCGAGGAGCCAATTCACTATTCTGTACCGAATTCAATTCGGTAGTGGAGGTTTTGTTCATAGGGCCTCAATCTGTTTACTCCGGTGGAGGTTAGTCGCCCGCTAGAGACTCAGATTGAGAGGGTCTGAAGACCTTTAGTCGAGACTTCAGACTGTTTGAGAACCTTCCGCAGTATAACTATCATAGAAATTGAACTTGGTAATTACAATCCGGCTTAACTGCAGACTAGGGGGAACCATATCCGGGTGACCTCTCTTAACCTGAAAACAACCGTTTTAGTTACTTTGCTTGCTTGTTAGTTTAGAACTTCAATAAAGTTTCAATTCTAGATAATACGAATTCACTGAGTAGTCATCACATCTAGGACCCGGGTTGACATTAAAACCCAAACCCGCTATACTACGCTTTAGGAAGTGGTTACACTTGGCCAATTTCTAGAGTGACAGTAGGAGTGAGTCAAGTTTTTGGCGCCGTTGCCGGGGACGGCTAGGTTGTTGAAGAAAAGTGATTTCTGTTACTCTAGCATTCGCATTGAGTTTTTGTTCTTTCCCACTTGTGCCTTCACGGGTTTGCATTGCTTGATTGTGTGCAGATAGTGCATGACCCGTAGCCAGTCGGGAGGTTTACTGCCGTTGAATCCTGAGATTGAGCGCATCTGCAAACAACTTCGGAGACAACAGCGAGCTAGACTGGCTACGGTGGAGCGCAGAGACGGCCAATTGAGCAGCGACTCCGAGGACGAGTACGAGATGGAAGGCGATCAAAACCCACCTCCTCAGAACCAGATCCTGGGGAACGACCCAAATCCCCAGGGAGCTGGGAACCCTCATCATCCACCACCACCGGGTCCCACCTTGGAGTACTACTATACTCCACGGATTGCTGACATCCGCCCGGTCATCCTCTATCCGCCCATTCCTGCAAACAACTTCGAGATCAAGCCATGCTGGATTCAACTCATCACATCCTCTATCCAGTTCCATGGCTTGAAGGATGAGGAAGCCCGGGTACATCTTTCCCGTTTTCTGCAGCTGACAAACGGGTTCAAGCTAAACGGTGTCCCGGATGACGCAATCCGCCTTCACCTCTTCCCCCATTCTCTGGCGGGGAATTCAAAGAGGTGGTTGGAGACCCAGCCCCCATTGTCCATCACCTCTTGGGATGATCTGGCTGACAAGTTCGTGCACCGGTATTATCCGGCATCGAAGACCACGGAGATTCAGCGGGAGATCACTCACTTCCGCCAAGAGCCAGATGAGTCACTTCGTGATGCATGGGAGCGGTACATGGGATACTTCTGGCAGTGTCCCCATCATGGCTTCAGCTTGCTTTCACAGTAGGGAACTTCTACAGCGCCCTCACTCCAGACAGCCAGAGGGTGATTGAGTCTCTATGCCCAGGAGGGGACATTCTCACTAAGACTCCACCCGAGCTGAACCAGATGATCAGTACCTTGGCTTCCCGCGATCATTCTTGGGGGCAGAGCAGCAGAGGCAGACATTCCCGGGACCGTGGTGTGCACGCTATGGAGGCCAGGTCCGGGTTAGAGCAGCAGGTGGCTGAGTTGGTGCAGACATTGAAGCAGCCCAACAGTCTCTTACCGGGCCGAGGTGTAGCTGCGCCTCCAGTGGAACAGTGTCAGTGGTGTGAGAGCCCGAATCATCGGGTGGAGGATTGCCAGGCTATGCAGGAGTCCTCTACTCCCCAAGAACAGTTGGCCTTCATCGCTAATGCTCGGCGCCTCGATCCATACAGTAACACATACAATGAGGGGTGGCGCCAGCATCCCAACTTCGCTTGGAGTAGCAACACCACTAAACCACCTGGATTCCCGGCACCGGCAGGTGGTTTTCCGCAGAGGCAGCCTCCCCAGGCTAGACAGGGGCAGCCATTCCAGCAGCCTCAGCGTCAGTATGCTGAGCCAGCAGCAGCGCCAGCTCCCGATAATCAGATGACCGAGTTGAAGAACATTTTGGCGGCATTCATGACCACCAGCCAGGCTAATTTCACGAGGGTGGACCAGAGCATAGCCTCACTGGAGGCAGGACAGAGGAACCAGGGTGCCATTCTGCAAGATTTACAGAACCAGGTGGGTGTCATAGCTCGCCAAATTACTACTCAGGCCCCGGGGACTCTACCTGCCACCACCATCCCTAATCCACGGGACCCGCACGAGCAGCTGGATGCCATCTTCACCAGGAGCGGCAGGCCTACATCGGTTGATCCTGC